CGCGCCAGCTCAGCCGACCCCGGCCCTGCCGCCCCCCCCGCGGCCACCGGCTCGATAATGACAAACCTATTAACGCTAATTAACCGGGTCTCGCGCAGGTCAATGCTCTCAGTTCGCTCTGGATTGCCAAGGCTCCAGGCTAAGCACCCCACTGGCCTTTCCAGAGGCCTTGGCCGTGATACTTCGGCTACATCTTCATCCCTGCAGCCCCTCGAGGCTCAGCTGAGGAGGTCGGATGAAGGACCAGGGAGCCCACACCCCACAGCCCCCACCCCTCCCTGCTGGGGCTCCCTGGGGACCTGCTCCATCCCACACTGCAGTGGGGGACACGATGACACTGCCTTCCCCGTGCACGGGGAGAAGTGGACCCACAGAGAGCACCATGTCCCCCCCAAGCTGCCTGTGCCACGTCCCCACTCTCAGCCCTTCCCAGCACCTCCAGGTCACAAATGTTTTAGCAAAAGGCAGCTCCAGCAGAAGGGATAAATATTCCAGCTGAGTGGCAGCAGACACAGCTCCAGCTGAGCCCAACACACAGAGATGGCACTGCTGCCCCAGGGACACCAGCCCTGGGCAAGGCTCTGCAGCCATTACCAGAGCCACAGGGAAGGGGGAACTCACTGGCATTCCCCAATCCCAATTCCCACCAGGAAGAAGTGGGCAGGAGGCTGCTGGGATGAGCTGGGGAGAGGGGCTGGTCCCTGTGGACACAGGCATCCCCAGCACGCTCAGCCCTTGTGTCCCCTCTGTCCCCAGCGGGAAAGGGACGCTCTGAGGCTGATGGCAGCCCAAGCTCCTGTCTCCAGCCTGGCATCTGTCACGTCAGAGGCTGGTCTGGCTCCAGTGCCAGGTGAGGAGGGCCAAGCTGTGATTCCACATTAATGCCAGTGATGAATATTAATAGCTGGAAGAGGCAGGCACTAACTTCCGACTCGCACCTCACCTACCGCAACAGAACCAGGTCCCAAACGTGTCCCTGAGCGTGGGGACAGGTCTGGGCTCCCTCCTGCCTGCAGCCACGACCCTCCATCCAGCACAGCCATGTCCCCAGCCAGCATCACGATGGCACCTGGTGCTCACAGCAAGGGACTGGCAGTGGGGTGTCTGGGTGCTGTGCAGCAGCAGCAAGGAAAGGACACAGCTCTCCTGCTCAGCCTCAAAGCCACC